CATCAGCATAAAAAGCACGTGACAGTGTAATCCATAACCGTCTGACTCGGAGGCGAGAGTGCTACCATGGAGCTAGGCTAACACACAAAGCCAGGCTGGTTAAGACCAGGATAGAGCATGATGCCTCCCTGGCTTCAATAGTCTAACTGTCGAAACGAACCATGAAGAATGGTGGGTTGTGTGAGATGCCAAGCATTCAGGCACTTTGGAACCTAGCCCAACATCGAGCAAAGAAGGTGGCATTTTTTTCAGGCGTTGAGAATGCAAAATATGAATGAACCTGCCTGCCTGAAATGCCAGTGTCACTGGGACTCACAGTGAGCTGCTCATCTAACAGATAAGGCTTGAGCTCACAGGTTAACGTTTAAGAGGTTAAGGTTTCTGCAACATCCATTGGCCAGCAAGCCGTTCGTTCATACTTTGCATTAAGACCACCTTCTGCCTGTGAGCAGCACATGGAGGGAGGAAAACGACAAGATGTGCAAAGTGGGTGGAACTGCCATCTTAACATAGAGATCGACATCAACAAAGCAAATATTTAGCGACAGAGGTTCGTCTGACAGAGCATTCCAGCCGGTTGCATCAACAATACCATTGCAATCAGCCACTTCCAACAAACTTGGTATCTTTCCCAAGGTACTTGACCTTTCAAACAATCTGCTCCCATTCTCTGTGCTCTGAACCCAGCCAGAGTCCACCCACATTGATCGGGAAGCATCTCCTTCATGTTACAGCTCACTCACCCCCGGGTAATTGTGGTAAGAACAGCAGGCTGGCCAGTATATCGGACAGGCTTGGGAGCCAGGTGAACAGGGACGCGGACATTCTCCGTCCTCTCCCCAGCAGCGCTCGGCAACACTTGAGAGTCTGTGTTTACCAAGCATTAAGTAGGAATCCGGTTGTTAGTCAAATGGCAGATCGTTTACCAAGGGTAATAAACCCTTCAAAATAAATAAAATAATAATTTGGTCACTCAATCCCCGGCAGTTTGTGGGACGTTGCTGTATGCAATTGGCTGCTGGGCTTTCTCCCCCCAAATATACAGATACATCTATATCAAATGCAAGGATTATTATTGATTGGGTGTTGAAAGATTAAAGGGGGAGGGGCAATTTCACCCCACCACCACCACCACTCCTATCCACAAGCTTAGTCATGGCTCCATGGATGCCAGTCACCATGTCAGACGGTGACCAAGTCACGCACACCTGATACCCAAGCCTGAGGATGAGAATCAAGCCCACCCAGAGATAACCACCCTACAAAGACTTAGCTTCTTACCCCCAGGCAGCAGTGGACAATAGAGGCTCAGAGATCAGTTGTCACCCTGCAACTGCTGCCCACGTGCACAGACCAAATCAATCCCCAGGCTTTCCTCCAAACTTAATATAAGACCATGGGGGGAAGGAGATTAATAATAATACTCGCATTTGAGTTAGAGTCTTACACATTGTCGAGACTTCTGAAAGCACTTCATGGGATACTCTGTACTGTAAAGTGGATTGACAGTGTATTCTGTGGGAGAAACACAGCAGTCAATTGCGCACAGCAGTGTCCGACAAATTAAAGCAACTCCTTACATAAAAAGGGACTAAGAGCAATTTCTACCACCTTGATAATCAGAGGCTCAAACAAAGGGGATTGCAACAAGAGATGCTGACATGACAGCAGATCATTGGAAAGCTAATCAGTGCTCCATCCCTGGCTCCAACACTCACCCAATCTCTAGGGATAGCTGTTCTATGCAATATCTGTCTCTTCACTGGAAACCATCTTCTGGATTATGACACCTAAAATTTTTTAAACATTGGAATTGCCGAAAGAACTGCAGTCAAAGCCGCATTTTGCCCACAAAATACGCAGTATATCCTGTGAAGCGCATTGAGACGTCTTGATGACTTGATAAGGCACTTTATCAAATGCAAGGATTATTATTATTGAGAAAGAGAAGGGAATTTCTCTCTCTCCCTCGGTGTCCTGGCCAACAATCCTCCAGATAAAATGAGTGATTCACTTCATGGCTGTTTGTGGAATATTTGTGGTGCACAAACTGGCCGTTGTTTTGCCTATACAAAACGCCACTAAATTTATGGAAAAGTGAAGCTCTTTGAGGCGATTGACAGGTGCCCCCAGCCATGTTGAGCAACACTCAAGGACAGTCCCTAACACACCCCAAGTAACCACAGCTTGGGTTAGATGGTTCCAGTGACCTCAGTGATGAAAATACCGAGGATCCAGATGGGTTTGCCAGTTCTGGGCTTAAGTCACAACTCAAAGTGAAAGAAGAGCAACAGGGTTCTGCCAGGTTTCATTCACAATTTAGCAGCGCGCTCATCGAAAACCTCAGTGACCTAAATAATTCAATCGAATTCAAATCCCACAGTCACTCAGTGAGCCCACTTTACAATAAATCCTGTGAAATGCTTTGAGACATCCTCCCGATGTGAAAGATGCTCTACCAAATATTATTTTTATCATCATCACCTGGCACAGTAGCAAATGACGCAAATGTCCCATTTTAAAAAGGTGTCTGGCACAGTTACACTCCAGTAAATTATTTATCAGCCAGCGCCTTGGTACGTCCTCCCGACATGAAAGGCGCTATACAAATGTAATCTTGTTGTTGTTGTTGTTGTTATGGATTAAAAATAAACATTTACAAACTGAATGATGAGGAAAGAGATGCAGGGAGAAAAACTGCTTACAGAAGGGGGCAGATGAAATTTAATATGAAAAAATATGAATCAATTCACTTTGGTAGGAGGAATGAAGAAGCTATTTATCCTGTTAAAGGTTGGTAAAAAAAAAGGAGTAGAGATCTGATGCAGATTAATAACTCTAAAAACAGCAACCCAGGTGGATAACGCCACAAGAAAAATGCAAAGAAAGGCTTATGTCCAGAGGAACAGAATACAGAAGCAAGGACATAAATGTTACATCTGTATAAAACCTTGGTTAGACTTCACTGGAGTAAGCCAGTTGCCAGCACTCTGATTTCTGAGTTCTAGTTCAAGTACCCGTGTTGAGACACTGAACTCATTGTTTAAGCTTCCCTTATCTGTTTTACAGATGAGGCGTTAAACTCAGATCCTATCTGCTGGTCTACAAGTACATGTTAAAGATCCCATGACACTATTGGAATTGAGAGGAAGTTTCTCCCAGTGTCCTGGTCAACAATTCCTCAAAGAAAATTGACCATTCATATACTACACGAAGGATATTACAAGCATGGAGAGCGCACAGTATATTTTTACAAGAACATTAACAGGAATGAGATTGATTCAACGATCAGGAAAGATGGACAGATTAGAGCTTTTCCCTGGAGATGAGCTAATTCAAAGAATCAAAAGAGGTATTTAAAATTATGGAGGGATTCATTAAGAGAATAGAAATTGATTGTTTCCCTTGTTGGTGAGTACATTACAAGGGGGCATAAATAAGAGACACTGAGATATAAATTGTAAATAATCTTTGCATATCATGTCGTCAAAGTGTCTGGAGGATTTTTAATTCTAGTGTCTGTGTATTTGTTGGCACACTCTGAAAGCGAGTTTAGGAGGAACTTCACACAGATGGAGGTGAGAACGTGCAACTTGCTGCCATAACCTGTGGTTGCAGAATCATTGCATTTAAGAGGAAACATGAAGCATACATAAGGGAGAAGGGAATAGAGGGTTATAGGGGAAGCCTGGTGTGTGTGTGAGTAGTGTGTGTATATGGTTAGGATGGTGGAGGTTGATGTAGAGTATGAACACCAGCATGGATTAGTTGGGCTGAATGACGTGTTTCAGTGCTGTAGATTTCACGCATTTCAGCCCTGAGTCACACAGATCAGGAAGGTCCCAGAGGCCAGTTGTGTTTAGTTGGCTAATCTTAACCAGGGCAGCAACTGGTGGTGGTGAGGGGGTGGGGGGGGAAGTGGGAGAAAAAGGCTACAATTCCTGGCCTGAGAAAAAAAAGATCATCCAAGGATTTGTGCTGCTTTGTAAAATATAAATGCATGTGGAAATCAGGGAGAGAAAAATTGGAGGAACATGCAACCTCAATGGTCACATATTACAGTACATCCCACATGGTGAAAATGCCAGTGAGGCCTCATGATCCTTCCCAAGAACATTCCTCAACACAAATTCACTCCACTTTACAGCATATCCTGTGAAATGCTTTGAGATGTCCTTCTGATGTGAAAAGTGCTATACTGTCACTGTAGTCGACAATAAGCATAAATCCAGAAAATCTGACCAAGAGCCATCCGAGCTGACAGCTACTGTATTGCCCAAGAGTAAAGCAGTCTCCGAGCGACTGAATGTCTACAGCAGGTGAGCAAACACAGCTCATCCCCACAGAACAAAGCAACCCACAAGGTGCACCTCAGGGAGTATCTCTCACTGAAAGGACGGACGCCGTCCTCAGCTCTCTTAACACTGAAGCAATCCGTTGGTGTGTGTGTGTCTGTGTGCACGTTGCTCAGAGGCATGCCTCAGTCAAACACTGCCCTGTTCTTTGCTTGGCTTGTACCAAACCCCGAGCTGAAGTTGGGAGCTCAGAGTACAATATCCATTGGAAATCTGACCTGATTGGAGCGATTGCAGTGGGACTGTCCAACACAGAGTGCTCCCTTACTCCACTTCTAATTGAAGGTCCCACCCGAAACCATTGACCCACTTCTCTTTGTGTTATCCAGCGCTTTAAAGGTTTCTAACTACATCTATTTCATCGACAGCATGAATCATATTGTGCAGCATTGGCAGTGACCATGCAAACCCTTTCAGCTGGTGAACAAAGTGTGGCACAGGAATGTGCAGAGGAAATATTAGCTCCTCTCTTTGTCTTGCAATGGACACAGTTTTGCTCTGTCTATACACTTGAATGGAAAGCATTCTGGATAGTGTGTGCCAGTCATGAAAATACCAACAGCATCCACCAATAGGTGCTGGTCATCCCTCATTCCACGACCCGCTTACATAGCTCAGTTAGATCAGCTCAGAGCATTTACTTACGCACAATATCCGGTGCCATTGCGACGGGTCTCACACTTCCCCTCATTGATGCACGGCTCAAAGGCGTTACGGCACTGTAATGCTGAAATAAAACAGAAATCCTTTGTTACACTCAATGTAAAAGCCAATGCTATTATCAACTCGATTCCCGGGCAGGGTGAAACCTTCGGCAAGTTTCCTTACTACACATGCTCTGTTTACCCAGCAGTAATAATAATAATAATAATCCTTGCATTTGATATAGCGCTTTTCACGTCGGGAGGACGTCCCAAAGCGCTTCACAGAACACACTGTAAAGTGAATTGACCGTATATTTGTGGGCGAACGCGGCAGCCAATTACGCACAGCAATGTCCCACAAACAGTCATGGATTCAAAATGACCAATTTATTATTGTTTTGTTTTTTTGGAGGGATTATTATTGGGCGTATGGAGTGAGGAAACTTGCCCAAGGTTTCGCCCTGCCGGGAATCAAACCCAGATCTCTCACTTGCAAAGCGAGTGCTCTAACCACTGAGCTACAGGACTCCATAAGTAAGTAGAAACCCGGCTGTTAGTCGATTGGCGATCACATTCTCGGGGTAACAATACATTAAAAATAAATCATTTGGTCACTCAATCCCCAACTGTTTGTGGGACATTGCTGTGCACACTTGGCTACCGAGTTTCACCAACAAATATAGTCATTTCAACTTACAGAGTGGGCGAGAGCTAGACAGCAAGCGTTAGGTGACTGTAGCTTTAAAGAGGTCAACAACAGCTTTAAGAAAGCCACCTGAACAGCCTATCCGAATAGTGAAAGCAAAACGCTGTCCGATTTCAAACCAGGGTTATATTTAATTGCCTGTCAAAACTTCCCGTCCGACCAGTTTCTCATTTACATCACAGTAGTCAACTTGAGCTGGTTAGGCCAGCGCATGTCTAACCCACTTGCCTTGACTGTATGTAACTTATTATAAACTGCAGCCTGAAACAGGAAGGCTCAAAGCACAAGTCTGTTTTAAGCAATGCAATGGGAGGGGACAGGAAATAGAGTGAGTGGGTCGAACATTTTCAAGGCTCTGTCTGGAAGCAGCTACACGTGCTGCTGGATCCCCAATGTCTCCTTCTCCTTTCTCCCCCCACGATTCTGTACTTCTGCCATTCAATAGTTTCTCAAGTACAGGGGGGTGTGTGTGCATGCTCACTCAATCAGAACCTACCAACACACAGCACACAGTACAGCACCAACACACACACTGCAGGATGAGCACACTCAAAAGTTTTTTTTTGGTCAGCCGGATATCTAATGTGTCTAAACCATAGTTAAGAGTACCCAAATTAGACTGTGTACTACAGATGCACAGAAATTTCCCTTCTTCTGGAATTCAGTGCTTATGCTCTCCAAATCCAAGAAAATATTAGCTGCAGGTTTGGTGAAAGCTTTCTGACCCCTGGCTGTGTATTAAGAGTCTAACCAGATAAAACCACATAGCTTGCCACCGCCTGTCAAGCTTCCCATTGCTTGTCCAGCTCGGACCACCCTACCCGTTAAGGTTTTGGCTTGCAGTTGACAGGAGATGAGTGGGAAGATTCATTGCCACCAGCGATTAGTCTGCCCTTCCAAGACGTGCCAATCAGCCAGGACTTAGAAGGGTATGCTGTACCCTTGAGTACTGTGGACCTGCCTGGTTCAGGAATCCAGACCATCACAGAGGGTGCATCAATTCAGAACATTCATTTGCCAAGCACGTCATCTTGGAGCCAGTTCAACTCCACGGAGATCCTACTTACTTATGTCATTCCCCATCCCAGGACAACACACATACACACTCACAAACACACAGAGAAATCACTGTACAAAAAAGAATCCTGCTTCCCACAATCTGTGTAAGGCAGAAATCTTCAGCAGTCTGTGTGGTGCACAGCTAACCACACACGCTGAGGTCAGGTCAGGTCAAACCCCACGCATTAAAAAAAATACTAACGTTTCAGCACTGCACTGCACGCAATCCACTCTCAACAACAACAAAATTACATTTATAGCGCGCCTTTCACGTCAGAAGGACATCCCAAGGCGCTGGACAATCAGTGTTTCAGACACTAGCTGGGGATCGGATTGGGGCGGGTGGAGCGCAGGGTGGGAAGGTGGGTGATCAACGCATGGTCGAAGAAGAGGGTCTTGAGATGGGTCTTGAATGAGACAAGGGTGGGGGCGAGGCAGAGGGACTGTGGGATGGAGTTCCAGAGGGTTGGGGCAGAGTGGCTGATGGCCCGCCAATGGTGGGGTGGATGAGGTGGGGGATGTGAAGCAGGACGGAGCCCGCTGAGGCGGAGGGATCGGCAGGTTGGTAGGGTTTAGGAGGTTGCAGAGGTAAGAGGGATCGAGGCCATGGAGCGCTTTGAAAGTGAGGATCAGGATCTTGAACTATATCCTCTGTGTGATGGGAATCTAGTGGAGGTGGGCGAGGATGGGGGTGATAGGATCACGGAGCCTGGTGCAGGAGAGGACATGGGCTCTCACAGGGAAACAGCATGTGCCAACAGCATGGCCAACTTGCTCTCCCTCTGGTCAACAATCCCTCAGATAAAATTGGTCACTCACTCCATGGCTGTTTGTGGAACATTGCTGCGCACAACTGATTGCCACGTTTTGCCCCAAAAATACAGTCACTAGACAGTATATCCTGTGAAGAGTTTCGAGACGTCCCAATGGCAAGATAAGGCACTGCATCAACGCCCTCAAATCTATATCATGTGCAAGCGCACCGCATAAAACTACCCCCGAATTGGTAACTTCAAACAGGAAGCTTTGCTGATGGCTCATGCAGGAAACAAAGATGCCACAGTGGTTCATCAGGAGGTACTCTTGTGAAATTGTGAATTTCAGATGAAGGAAGAATTTTGGGGGAAATGCCTCGACACCTAACCAATGCTACCTCTGATCTGGAAGAGTTCAACAACAACATGGAAGTGGAATGGCGCACAAATAACAATACAAATTGACATTGATACAGTGCCTTTTTGGATCTTCCAAGGAGCTGAACCCGAGGTTCACCCCCAAGTCTCGGGTGGGGGCCAGGGGTTGAGGGGAGGAGAATAATCCTTGCATTTGGTACAGCACCTTTCACTCGGGAGGACGTATCAAAGTGCTTCACAGGATTCACTGTAAAGTGGAGTGAGTGTATTTATGGGCGAAATTTGGGCACAGGTGTCCCACAAGCAGTCATGAAGATGGGCAAAAGCGCCGACAAAGAGGATTACTAACAACGCGGCTGTTGAATTCTTTTGCCCCATCGCCAATCCATCTAAACACTCAACACATGACACTGTAAATGCTTTTTTTTAAAGCATCGGGTTTCACAATAGAATTCAACCGAGGTGAAGCAGCAGCATAAAACACAACGTGGGGCATGCGCACGTCTGAACAATGCATCTCAAGAGAGGTGAAACCAATTTTGACAAGCGCACACTATGTGCTTGTGTTTATGTATGTGTGTGTTTGTGTATATGTGTGTGTTGGTCTGCCTATCTGCAAACACCTCAGTGTAAAAATCAATAGCATTTCACATCTGTGCGGAGCCTTGTGATTGCACACATCAAACGGATGCAGCTCAAAGCCACACAACAAGCCTTGAAGTACAAACGGAGATCTTGAAGAGGCAGACTTCAGCGATGCCTTGAAGACTCCTTAATAAAAGCGCAATAGACATAGCTCAAGTCAACAGCTTTCTGCCCCTTTTAATAAGCTAAGCTCGCTCACAGTGCAGCTGCCCACCAGGGATTTTCATCCTTAAGTCTTTAAAAGAGACACAAGATAAAGGGCATTAAAGACAGAGAGCCAATAATCCACAAGGTCACAGGTTCAAGTCCTGCTCTGTTCTGCATTACCTAGGGCAGCAGTGAAGGTCTCTAAATTTGGTCTGAGTGCCCCTGGGGTGGGGAAACCATATCAGCCTGGGTTCCTGCTTCTCGTCACAGCCCAATGACTCCTGGCTGGAAGGTGGGCATGTGCTTCTGATGCCCCCTGTGGTCCCATACCCTGCTGACACTCACAGTCCAAACTCACAGAACAAACAGGCACTTGGGCAAGGTTAGCGGATGTGGGCAGTCCCTGTGGAATAACAGCCCAATGAAGGAAATAATAATCCTTGCATTTGCCTTATCACCTTGTTGAGACGTCTCAAAGCGCTTCGCAGAATATACTGTAAAGTGGATTGACTATTTTGTGGTTGAAACGCGGCAGCCAATTGCATACAGCAGTGTCCCACAAACAGTTATGGATAGAGTGACCAAATTATTAAAGAAAAGACAGCAGAGGGGAGAGCGTAGGGGAAAGAGAATGAGAGATAGGGAGGGAAAGGAAATAGAGGTACGTTCGGGGTTGGGGAAGGAGATGGAGGAAACTTTTTTTTTAATCTGAAAACAAAGAGTGAGGAGGTTTGCTGGATGATATGAGCGGCTGCCATAACATTTCTCACCTGACACCACCTTTCAACACTGCAAACACATTTAAATGTGAATCAACAGCCTAGGACTGTTTTCCACCTCTTTTTTTTTAAAAAAGCACACACTCAGTGCGTTTGTAATCTTTCATTTCCCTTCCTGGCATCAGCAACAATTCAATGACGCAGAGAGAGAAAGAGAGCGAGAGAAGGAAGATGGATTTTTTTCCTCAGTACTCACTCCCTCTTTTTCCCTCACTCTCCCCATCTCTATCTCTCGCTTTCTCGCTCAGTCTATCTTGCTCTCTCAGTCTCTCTCCGTCAGTCATTCTGTCTATCTAGGCCTCTTTCTGCTCTGGGCGTCCTTCTCCATCTCTCGCTCTTGTAGGCTCGATCACTGTCTTGTTCGCTTTCTCTCTCTCTCTCTCTCCTTCTGTCTCTTTCTCCCTTTCTCTTCTGCTCCCCTTCTCTTTCTACAGCATGAAGGTTTAAAGAAACTGGCTTACAGGGCACAGCTGAGGATCAAGCTGAATTCTCAATAACAAGCAGGCTGGCTGGCTCAGTGCCTATCCAGATGTGGCAGTTCTGCCAAAATATGTGCCTGTCTGTGTCTTGTGTCTATGTGTAGAAAACTAATAAATCAAAATCACCACGAAACACATTCTCTTCTCTGAGCTCAGATAACAACTTGCATTTAAACACCAGCGGCCTAAGTAAGATCAACTTCACATTTCCACATCTCCACTTTATTTTTGTTTCTCTCTCTCTCCCTCTCCCTCTCTCTCTCCCCCCCCAACCCCTCTCCTCCTCTCAACTCCACCCCCAGAAACAATATCCAAAACCCTTCGGGGACGAAAACTTCACTGCTCGCAAAAAGTTTGAGGCACAGTTTAAGATGGGAGAAATCTTTTTTTTTTTTGGGGGGGGGGGGGTTAAAAAAGTTACCAGTTTGAAGGGTACTGGTACTGCTCTGAAGTCCAAATATTTCACTCCCACCACAAAGAAACCTTTACATTGTTCCTCTTTCTTGAGGCTACCCAGTGGATAGTGCAAATAAGTTACGAAAAGTCGCAGAGAAGACAGAAAATGAAACAAACGATGATCAAATCCTTGCAAAGAGCTTTCCCCCCCCACCCCATCCCACCCCATCCCACCACCACCACCACCATCACTGAACACAAGACCACAGACCCTGATGACGATGGGACCAGACTGGGAATGGCTTACGAGACGCCCAAAAGCGAAAGGAAGTTTTTTTTCGGGTGGGGGGGGTTATTATTATTTATTATTATTATTAAGAAAAAAAATCAATAAAAAGTAAGGGGCGAGAAGCCTGGCCGACCTCCTGCCACCCCCTCTGCACAGCAAACTGCCCTGTGCCTCAGCAGGTTCATGCCTGGCCTCAGGGTACTAACATGGGGAGGGGGGGGGGGGCTTCTGCCACACTGTCTCCCCGTCACACTGTCTCCCCCACCCCACCCTCGCAGTCTGTCACACTCTGACAGTGTGGTGGGGGGGGAGAGAGGGGGGAGCATAGTGGGTTAGACAAGGGTGTCAGTGTATCACTTTGGGGGGGGGGGGGGCGGGTTGGTGTGCCACATGGCGGGTGTTGGTGTATCAGACGGGGGAGGAGGAGGGGGGGGGGTCAGTGTGTCACATGCGGGGGCTTCAGACTGGGGGGGGGGGGTGAGGGAGGTGTGTTGGTGCGGGGGGGGGGGGGGGGCTGGTGCATCTAGTGTGCCAGATGGGGAGGGAGGGGGGGGGTGTAGGTAGTGTGTCAGATAGCAAGGGGTTGGGGGGGGGGGGGTCAGAGTAGTCATCAGATGGGGGGGGGGGTTAGTGTGTCAGGTGAGGGGGGGGACGGTGAGTTTACAGAGGGTAAGAAGCTCGCTTTGAGAGAGGGGGGGGGGGGGTGTCATGAATGTTGGGCACCATCACCCTCTCCTCCTCCTCCTCCTCCCTGGGGCAGCAGTGGCCACGAACCCCCCCCAAAAAAAAAAAAGAAAAGCAGCTCTCACTCACCTCCACACACAGCGACAGCCCCCAGGAAGCAGCACCACCACCAGCCCCAGCAGCAGCCCCAGCAGCCCCAGCCCGGGAGCGGTCTGCCCCCCATCCCCTTAGCCCCTGACTGGAGTCCTCATGGGGGGAACGGGAGAGCCGGAGACTCGCGGGGAAAGAGAGAGAGAGAGAGAGAGAGAGAGGGAGAGAGGGAGTCCGGAGGAGAGCGGAAAAAAAACTTTGGTGGCAAAGTTTGGGGAACTTTTTTGAAGAGCGGAGAGTGAGAGAGAGAGAGAGAGAGAAAAAAACTTGTGTGAGGGGAGGAGGGGATGAGGGGAGGAGGGGGGGGAATGGGGAGTGTCGAAAAAAAAACTGTGTGTGTGTGTGTGTGTGAGGGGATGAGGGTGAGGGGGGGGTGAGGGGAAGGGGGTGGCGGTTGCGCGTCGCCCGAGAGAAAACTTTTTCAAAAACAAAACCCCCCCCCGAGGAGGACGCGCCAGAGACGACGGCGGCGGCGGCGACGACTTTTTTTTTTGGGGGGGGGGGGGGGAGGGGGGGAGAGGGAGTCACGACGACAAAACGGACGAGAAAAGTTTTTCTCTCGGAGTTGGAAGTGAGTTTGCGTTGCGTTGTTGTGTGTGTGTGAGAGAGAGAGAGAGAGAGAGAGAGAAAAAGAGAGGGAGGGCCGAGGATCGAACCTCCCGCCTACAATTTGGCCCACATTGCTCACACTCCCCCCACACACACACACACACACACCACCTCCTCCTCCTCCTTCCCCTCCACACACACACACACACACACAACCCAACAACCGCCTCACACTCCTCCGCCCTACCTCTGCCCCCCCCCCCCCCCACCCCTTCCCTCCCTCCTCACCCCCCCCCCCCCACCCACACCCCCCACACACACACAAAACTTCTCACCCCCCGATTTTATTTTTCTTTTTTAAAAAAAAAACGACCACCGCCGGAGGGACTATTTCGGCCCCAACCACCGCCCGTTTCGACGGGCGCGGAGGTATGTCATTTCTGGCTGAAATGTGCGGGTTTTTCGCGTCAATTGTTTCAGCGTTTAAAGCAACAATGTCCCGTTTTATTACCACTCCCTCTCCTCCTCCTCTCCTCCTCCACCACCACCACCACCAGCAGCAAAGAGATTGGATTCACGAAAACCGCTACCAAATCACACTCGCCAAGCGCCAGCACCGATTTATTGGAGGAGAGGGGGTGGGGGTATATTTCCACCCCCACCCAAAAAAAAAAGTTGTCAGCTTTTTTGCTCAACTTTTCTGCAGCGGAGTTGCATTTGAAGGTAACGCGGCCGTAATTCCGAACCCGGCTCCTTGAGACCGAAAGGGAGGAAGGAAGGAAGGAGCTCGCGTTTCTTCGCTCGATGCCTCTCGTGCAGGTGGAAACCCCACCGCCGTTGCTTAAGGGCGTCCAAACCGGGCCGAGACTTCCGCTCGTCCCACCGACACGTGGAAATCCCGGAGGATGGTAGATGCGCGCTCTCTCCCGCCGCGGGGGGTGGGGGGTGGGGGCGGGAGTTCACACATATCCTGCTAACCTAATTCCGGAAAATATTAGGCGCAGGTTGGCAAGAGCCAAGGCTTGGCGACCCCAGAGTGCGCGTTGGGATACTACTGTCAATCTTCGTTGCAGTTGCATTTCAGAAATGACTGAAGAATAAACTTAATAATAGCAATCCTTGCATTTGGTACAGCGTTGCTTTCCGGCAGTTGTCCGACTGCTGAATGGAAGAGCTCCACAGTTATAAACGTGATTGCAAAAATAAAAACTTGAATTGCTGGAACGTTTGAAGAACCTTCAGTTTATATGTTGCTGTCCCAATTGCTGAGTTTTCCATATTATTGAAGATGATACACAAATTACAGGTTCCTTGTGCTCCTCAGAAGGAGGTGTCATCATTCTGATGAGACTTTATACAAAGTTATACAAAGTCTGCTTGTTCAGTTGGGCGTTAAAGATCCCATGGCACCATTCAAAAAGAGAAAGGACTTTCTCTCTCCGGTGTCCTGATCAACAATCCTCCAGATAAAATTCACTTCATGACTGTTTCTGTGACACTGCTGTGGGCAAATTGTCTTGTCGCGTTCATCTACAAAATACACACTCACATGTCACAGCAAATCCCGTGAAATGCTTTCAGACGTCTCAACAATGTGCTATATCAAATACAAGGATTATTATAGTCACTACACTTCAAAATAACTCATTGTGTGAAGTGCTTTGAGACGTTGTGACATGATAAGGAACTGTATCAAATGTACACTTCATAACAACAGGTGCACCACAGAGAATTATCAGTTGTTGGTACTTTATAAAGCTTTATGACAGAGTACCTGTGATACGAAAATGTGACAAATGGACATTGGATGGTGCAGGGTTAGGCAGGTACAGGTATTATAGAATTTCCTCTGGATCTGGGAGCATGGGGGGAAACCTTAAGAGTCGTTTCACAGAAGATTTTGAGTTGAATTGATGACAAAGTACCCCACAAGTAAAAACCATTAGCCACGTGGCTTTCCGTTGCCTGTTATGTGATCTCCTCCTGAACTCCCCCAGACACATTCACTCAACTTTTTTAATAAAGCCTCATTGAGTAAAGCCAGATGCACAAACATTAATAATAGTTGCATTTAATATATCACTCCTTATCACGTTGTTTAGATGTCTCAAAGAGCTTCACAGAATATATTGTAAAGTGAATTGACTGTATAATTTGTGGGCGAAAGTATTAATCACATTAAACTTGTGTATTTGAAAAAAAATTGAAGCCTGAAATATACTTTGGTGTTCACTTTAAGCCATTTGTGTTCAAATTACGCAGAATCTTTGAAAATTCCTAAATTTGGATTTGAAAGATTTTTTTTAAAAAAACAGCTTATCGAAACAGCTTCCAAAATAAAGTTGGCATTCAAAAATGTCTAAAGTACTGCCTTAAACCATAAGCAATTTTGAAGCTGTTTTATTTTTTTTTTAAAAACTTGTAAAAATAGCTTCTGAGTTAACACTGAATTTATCAGCCAGGCTCAGTCTGAAGCACTCTCGTGTCTGAATCAGAAGGTTGTAGGTTCAAGCCTCATATCAGGACTTTGATCTCACAGTTTAGACTGACAGTCCAATGCAGTGCTGGGGGAGCATTGTTGGAACTGCTGTCCATTAAATGTGAGGTTAAACTGAGGTCCCGTCTGTCTTGTTCAAGTGAACGTTAAAAGATTTCATGATATAATTTGGAAACCGAAGGGAATTTCTCCAGATGTCCTTGCCAATAATCCTCCAAATAAAATTGGGGTCTAAAAAGACAGCATCGATGCTCAGGATAGTTACTGCGTGGATCCACAGTAAACGGTCTCTGAATGGTCAAATGCTTTTATTACTCATTCGCAATGCAATTGTGCGAATTTTTGTGGAAAGCATTACTGTACTACCTTGATAGCAGCACACAAAAGAATATGGCATATCTCCTTCCCGAATACAAGAAAAACAATATTTCATGATATCCATGAGACCAATGCACAGATACCCAATGAGACCAGTTTCGCCAGTTTGTTAATAGCAGCACATTCCCCCAACCTTGCATTTTGATAAGATGCTTTTGTTGACATGAGATTGAGGACAGGGATCCAACTCTTCAGTCATTTAAATTCCATCTCAATTTTATACTGTACTTTATGGTTAAAAAAAACCTTCCACATTACACAAGTGCTAACTCCAGTTCCACAGAAACCAGTTTTGTCCTCTAGTACCTCACTCAAATGGCTCTTCTTCTAGAGGGTAAGTTCAAGCAGACATTCAGCAGCTCAGCTTGATACTGTCCTCAGCGAATATCCACACCCTGGGAGGAGACAAAACAGAGAGAGCTTTATTCTGTCTCTAACTGGTGCTGTCACTGACCTGAGAGTGTGGACGGACAGTGGAGAGGGAGCTTTACTCTGTCTCTAACGTGAGTTATCGCTGACCTGGGAGTGGTTGGACAGTGTAGAGAGAGCTTGTAATGCTAATAATGGTTCCAAGCACTAACATCTGTAAGCTTAACAAGCACGAAGTTCACAGAGGTTAAACAAGAAGCTCCATGGTCAATGTGATCAGAATGTTGCACCCTACACAGCTCCTGTATAAAGGATTTCTGATGGAGATTTATCACTGCATGCTTCACACTGACATAGTGGTTGGTTCAAGTGCCAGAGAAAGTGAACACTTAACTTAGCCTGACACAAATATTAACAACCTGCGCCTGGCACCAGCTGGCGTGTTCAGTGACAGATCAAGGTGCACAGAACTGACAATAGCCATTGCCTTCATATCTTTGTCCCACTCCTCACATACATATACTGTAACAACAACAACTTGCATTTATAAAGAGCCATGCATGGTAGCGTCCCAGAATGCTTGACAGTGACGGAGGACGATGCCGAACCAGGGGGAGGTGACCGTAGGCATGGTCAAACAGGCAGGTCTTTAGGCGCGACCTGAAATTGGAGAAGGAGGGGGCAAGGCAGAGGGATTGAGGGAGAATATTCCAGAGTTTTGGGGCATAGTGGGTGAAAGTGCAGCCACCACACGAGGGACAAGCAGGGGTCAGAGCCAGTCGAGCAGAGACAACGGGTAGTGGGTTGGGAAGTAAGCAGGTTGGAGAGGTAGGGAGGTGCCAGGGCATGAAGGGATTTGAAGACAAGTGTGTCCATCTTGAAATCAAAATACTGTACATACAGTCAGGATGCTATGTTTCAGTACTGGCATCATAAATGTTGGAAGAGTCCAGGAGGCAGGAACGAGTCGAGTGCAGGCAGCAGGTAATGGATTGGGGATTAAGCAGGTCGGAGATGTAGGGTTAGTACATTCTGCATTCAAACCTCCCTCTTTTCAACACTTCCAATGCTCATCCACAAAGCAATTCATCTAAATGTTAGAGGCCTTATTAATAATAATCTTGATTATTTATTGTAAAAAAGAAAGTATTCATATTTTGTATTAATAAATAATCTTTGCATTTGGTGTTGTACCTCATCACATAGTTGACCAAAAGTGTTCTGTCCAGTCACTAGGTGGCGTATCCCATCTCCAGCAGAAAGCCCAACTCTTTCGGTGGAGCATGGAAAGCGCAGTGTATCCAAAGGACTTGGAGGTTTAGTGTATATGCAATTGTAAAATGTTCAAGAATTATCAGTGGTTTTGTCAGTATAAGAGAGACTGACAAGTTAGGTGAGCTTGTTAACATGGGGGCAGGAATTGAGTACAATGGACAGAAGACAAAAGAGGGAGGTTTGAATGCAGAATGTACTAACCCGACAT